TTTGTGCTCAAGTTACCACGCTGTGTCCGATATGTCTGGATCTATCCCCGCAATTCAACCTTTCAACAAAGCACTAACGCGCATATACGAAAAGCCAGCATTTGTGACGTTTGTCCGGCTATCCAATCGGCACGCATGCAAGGGGTAGAGCAAAATTCATGGCTTCGCACGTGATTGTACGCCCCCAAACGCAGGCGCAGGCATGCGAACATTTGCTGCCTAACATAACTTGCCGATGGAATAGCCGGACAGGCGTTACGGATGCTGATGTTTCCTATATGCGCGTAAGTGCATTGTTGTAAGGTGCCAGTCATGGCTGAAGTGCGGGGATGGTTCCCAACATATCGGACACACCATGCAACGAACAACGATCAAGGAATTTATCCTGGTCATGAAGCACTGAATTACAAGCTCCGTCGGGTAGTCTGGTGGGTTAACGCAAAACGTCAATGAAAGAAATGCAGTTAGTATTTCTGCTGTCAAAAGAATGAACTTATCGTATGTAATGCAGAAGCCTTGAACTCCAAGTGTTTCCACAACTTCAATAGGCGAAAAACTAAATCCAAGGTAATTCCCGGGAGTAGAATGGAGAGTAGTGTCAACTAACAAAATATAAGTGACGGAGTGCGTCATCCAACTGACTTTAAATGTGACTAGCGTCTGGGGCAGAAACAAACGAGTCAGGGAGAGCGTTCCATGCTTGACACATACGAATTGAAAAGAAAATGTTACGGCACGCCAGACGGCTGTACTGTTCTGCTTATTACATGGTGTGGTCTCTAAGTTTGGTTTTACTGCAGAGTTGCAGTAAAGAGCGGCACACCTGGTTTGGAGTGTGTAAGATTACATACGCCATAAACAAGTCGCATCGTAGTCAGCGATACTGCCCGCTGAATACTCCCAAACGTTTCAGCCTCTGCTCGTATGGAGGGTGGCGCACTCCAATGACGTATTTAGAAGCCAGACGTTGAGGTTGGTCCAGTGCAGTAAGCTCGTACTTCAACTATGGCTGCCAGGCCTGGATTGCGTATTCGACTTGGGAGCGAACATGCGCATTCAGCATCTGTCTGAAAATACTGGTGTCTAGTTGTCCGAATGCCCGTCGTAGCAAGCCGACGTACTAGTTACTAGTTTTCGGTGTCATGGCGGATTGCTTGGAACAACCCAAGTTATCCTGAACAAGCACGCCAAGGTCGCGTTCGACAGATGATCGCTGTAGTACTTGCGTTCTTAGCTTGTAGGAATAGGTACTCTGGTGTCGTATGAAGAGTACTTTGCATTTGTCCACTTTTAACTGTAACAGATTTCGGATTGATCTATCATGTATCGTATCTAGGTCACAGTGAATTAAAGGCTGATCGGTATCTGCCTGCATCAGGCGTCATATCTTGATATCGAGAGCAAACAGCAGGAAATTCGAAGCAATTTTCTGTGCAAGGTCATTGATGAAGATCACCTACAACCCTGGATTTAGAACTGAGCCCTGGGGCACACCATGCTCGACTTGTATTTGTTCAGATAATGAGCTCATGACTCTGACCTCTAATTGTCGTTGCAGGAGAAAGTTGGCGATCCAGTTCAAGAGAGGGTCACGGATTCCGTAATACTGGATCTTGGAAAGGAGAAGCTGATTACCTAATCGATCGAATGACTTCCAGAAATCCAAGTAGATCGCATCAACAGCCTCTCCATGATTAGCTGACTCGGTCCAACTAGTACATGCAATTAACTGATTCGTTGTGCACGATCGCTGTCGACGAAAGCCGTGTTTCTCGGGTGCCATAAGGTTACTAGTTTCTAGAAAATACACCAACGAATCGGCTTCGATGGATTCCATTATCTTGGACAATACAAGGAGAAGAGACCCTGGGCGGCAGTATGAAGGCTCTGTCCTCCTTCCGCCTTTGTGAATCGGAGTTATTATTCCAAGCTACTACGTCGCAGGAATCTGGTTTTCGCCTAAACAGCACAGAAAGCACTGGGCCAAAGGTTTTGCCCGTTGTCTTGCTGCTGTTCCCAGTGCCTCTGGGCTAATGATGCGACTCTCTGGGAACTGTGGTTGCGCAGAGACGTCAGCCTCTGCAATGCAGCTACGGTAGTGAAAGAGGTGTGTGAGTCCTGGAGGCAGGAAAACAAAAGCCTGATGACGTGTACGGTTGCGAAACCTGGCCCCTAAGATCGGCGGACATGAAGAGGCTAGTTACCTTCGACCATCGGTGCTTTCGCAGTTTGGCTCACATCTGGTTGGAACACCGCGTGAGTAACGAGCCTGTTCGATGCCTTGTTTACGGCCCAGGAAAAGGATCTGAACAGTTCAGCACCGTTATTTCCCGCACAAGGCTCCGATGGCTCGGACAGGTGTTACGCACGCCCGCCCACCGACTCCCTCGACGTGCGTTGTTTGCTCATCGGGGATGTGAGTGGAAGAAGAGGAGAGGTGGCCAAGCGACGACTTGGTCCAGGGGAATGAAGTCCCTCACTTCGGAGCTAGCCTCGGTTGGAGCGTCACGGCTCCCTGGTTGGGGTCCAGAAGACGGTGAACACGTTTGGCTGGATACACTTGCTGACATGGCAAGGAGCCGACCTCAGTGGCGTTCGTGCTGTGAGTTTCTTTGTCCCTCCCCATCCCTTTTAGCCTTCCCCTCCACCTACGATCTCATTTCGTAGGGTAAAACATAATAATTTTTTTCCTTTTTGCCTAGCAGCTGGCTGGTAGCTTACCGGAACGATGCCTATCCGTTGCTGGTAGCTTAGTTGGCATGCGACTGTTGTATCTATTTTTCCTTTGTGTATTGTATTATATGTATGTATGTCTTGGTGTGGCTGCGCTTGGTGTGCATGTTGACAAGGTGCCTACCTGTCTATTACCCACTACCTCGTCCATACTGGCTCCAGGAGACAGTTGGTCGTTGCTGGAGGGGACGGGGTGCACGGTCCTTGTGGCCGTGTTAGGCTCGAAGAGTGGTTCCATGCACTCAGTATGGAGCGGACTACGGTCCAGCCACCGCCTTGTGTGCGCTTGATTCCCAAATACAGTGTGCTTGTGTTTGCCTGTGAAGGAGTGTGGGCCGGCTCCGTTGATGAAACGTGGTTCCCATCCGCATGCCTCCCGGTCTTATTCCTTCGGGTTTACACTGGATATGGGGTGTGTGGTTGGAGCTGTGGGTGGTGCAGCGCAAGCCATCCATGGTCCCTCTGTAGGCACAGGCGTCCTGTGGCTTGCCACAGTGACAGGCAAATCCGAAACCGGATGCCGCCAACCATGTATTTCCTTCATATATTGCGGCACAATAGCGGAGGTGTTTTCCCACCTCTAGCTAACGTGTATAATGTAATGTGTGTGAGTGGTATGGCCCTCTGAAATGTTGAAGCATATCTCGTCCGCAACGCGTGTTCTGCTTTTATAGTTGCTCCAGTTGGACCCTCAGTCGTCCTGAGCGGACGAATTCCCTGCCTCACCTTACGACGGCCTTTGACACACTTGTATAACATTTTGTAGTTAGCGCTGAAAGGGTTTGCCATATTTTGCTGATATTCGACTGTCATCTCTGAGCATTTGAGTACAGTGGTCACGATGGGTTACGTAGTTGTCCCAATTATCTGGCGTTGGTGATGATCTGTACTATTGCCAGCCTGCGTTGCGAACAGTCATCCATGTTCTAGTTCTGCTCCTCACGAATGAAACGGGTTTAGGCCCATAGAATACCTTTGTTTGTGAGCCATCCGTAACCGATTGATTGAATTTACTGACGAAGTCAAGCCAAGTGATTTCCGGGTGGTTTTCAGCGAGGAACCACCTGGACTATACGGTCATAGCACCGCGCGCAACATCTCAGTGTTCTGGTGGCGATATTCCGCATAGTAGATGAAGTCAAAAATGATGAGTGCATGGTCACTGAGACCCAAAGGACATTTTACAATCAATACCTCAATCATATGTTCCTTGTTGGTGAACACAAGGTCCAGTCAAAATGGTTTATTACCTGTTCTGAAATGAGTTGGTATAAGGACGTGATTGTAAAGTGGAACACTACCTGCACTGTCTCCAAAAAAGCTTGCCGATTGGTGTTGAGTCAAACGGTGAAGTGATGTTATACCATAGAACGCGGTCGGGAGAAATGACAGAACACCGCAAGCATAGCCGTTTCGAGGTTATAAAGTTACAGCAGTGTGACCAGGTCTCATAATATTTGCAGTCGACGAACGTGATCCAACCGTCAGACATATTCCAGAAGCTTCGTGTATTGCCCACTGTACAATCCTAGCTATTGAGTACCTCAGACTGGCATGATTGTCTGATGGTCATGTCCTGCATTCCACCAGTGGTCTCATGAATGTTAACGGGTAGAACTAGTAGTATTATGAGTAGTAGTAGGTAGTAGTATGTAGTAGTAGTAGTAGTAGTAGTAGTAGTAGTAGTAGTAGTAGTAGTAGTAGTAGTAGTAGTAGTAGTAGTAGTAGTAGTAGTAGTAGTAGTAGTAGTAGTAGTAGTAGTAGTAGTAGTAGTAGTAGTAGTAGTAGTAGTAGTAGTAGTACCGAGAGCCTGCTGAATAGACAGAGCCAACCGAAACCAAGGAGCTTGGCAAACAAGTGGTAGAGTAGCCGCGTCCTAATCATCCTAACACAGTATTTGAAGGTTGACAACACACTACAGCTACTGTGCCGTAAGAAGAAGGGGACATTTTATTATTTTACGCACCACATGTTTAGCATTTTTAGTTATTAGGCTTCAAGCTTCTGAATCTAAGCAAGCATGTACACAGCGCAAAGGAAGGTACAATGCTTGTGGTATTAAACAGGTGAATCAATATAATTCTATACAATTTTTTCCAATGGTTGCAGTTGCGGGCCATGTCATTAAGCGTGTAAGCTATTGGCACTCTTGATCCTTGGGTCCTCATTCTGGAAGAGGTACCGGTTCAACGACGGCTAGACGTGACTTCAGCGTTTTCATGTGCCGTTGCCAAGTGGACGGCTGAGCACCATGCGGTCGTCTCCAGCCAGGTTCAAGATGAAAGTGCGGCGCGGTAAACGTTCAGGCGCCATGCGTAGGACGTGAACAAGCCATCTCAACTGGCGACGTAAAACCAGGTTGTTGAAGGGAATACTCGCATTCCCCAAGACGAGACGTCGAACGTCATCACTGTGAACTCAATGTTGCCACCATACACGAGCGATCTTCCGTTAACAACTGTTGTCGAAGGCGAAACTAGGAAGCAGGTCTTGCAGGCGAAATGGCCAGGACACGATCCCATATAATAATAGTGAACGAACAGATGCGCCATAAACACTACGCTTTAGCGAGAATGAGAATTCGCGACGACGCCACAAGTGCCGCAGATTGAAAAATGCTGATCGGACTTTAGCGGCGCAAACAAGAACTTCCTTGCTGATAATTCTTTCAGCAGAAAGACGGCTCCCAATATAAACGAAAATATGTAGTTACGCACCTTCAAGAATGAGCACAGCAGGTGTGGTCCAATCCTAGAGCAACACTGTACACTTCTATGGGGCGAAGTCCATGCCATACTTAGATGCCTCAACCGCCAAACGATCCTGTGGATCGTCACCAAGTAAGGTGATATCATCAGCATGATACAAGTCGGTCGCACGCTTATCCGGTAGAACCTCTAAGCCGAAATTTCGGAAACCTTCCAGAGCTTTTGTCAGGACGTCCTCGAATGCGAAGTTGAAAATTAATGGGGACATGAGACAGCCCTGTGGCACATCGCTATTGACAGCGAAGGGCGAAGAATGCTTGCCGTAGCTCCTCACCCTGCCGGGGGTATGAAGGCACGTAAGATAGCGGTACACTTCTCTGGCACGTTGTTCTTCAGCAAACAACGCCATAAAGCGGGTCGACCAACGGAATCAAACGCAGCGCGAATGTCTAGGAATGCGACGATTGTGGGCTTGTGGTGAAAATGGCGATGTTCGAGAAGTTAGCAGAGCATGAAGACTTGACCCACGCATCCACGGCCGGAACGAAGAGCAACTTGTTCTTCACGGTTTTTTGCTTCACGTACTGGGGATAGTCTACGGAGCAAAATGGATACCAGTAGCTTGGAAGCAACCGAAGTAAGACTAGCCCTGCGATGACTGACACACGAGGTGCGAGCGCCTTTCTTGAAAATCGGGGTAATAACTGATTTGTCCCAAGAGGGCGGCACTTGTTATTCATACAGGTTTTTGTGAACGACTAGGTCAGTTGGTTAATGATCGCCATGCCACCATACCTGATCAGCTCCGGAGAAAGTCCTCCTGAGTCGGCAGCCTTGAATCGCTTCAGGTGTAGAATCTCGAGGTAAACTTCCACTTCACTGGGTGGATTCAGTGGGACGAACCAGGGGAGACAACAAGGTATGTTGCATGCACTTATGTACGACGGAGGTCAGTTGAAATGCGAATGAAACTGCTCGGCCCAGCAGTCCAACCTCCTGTGCTGGTTGATCGGAGATGCATCTGCCTCTCAAATAACCTCACTGACACCAAGTTTCCTGAGGTCAGTGGACCGAATGAGTTGGAAAAGCTTGCGAGAGTTGCCAGAGAAGGCGGCAGTCTCCATAAGTAAGGCAAGCTTAGACCAAAATGCCTTGCAATCACTGCGTAGGCTTTACTTGAGCAACCGGTTGGTCGTTGTAATCTGATTTTGCCGGGATATCTTTGCGGCTGTCGAACAGCTCCAGAGAGCGAGCAGTGATCCAGGCCTTTAAGGGGCGTCGAGCTAGGCCGCAGCTTCACTGTCCGGAAATGGTCATCACTTTCTGTATACAAGTCCAATTTTGTTCTATGTCTTGCGGTCGATTGTAACTATGTGCGTATGTCAGGGAAGCGTGATGACTCGCCTGAACAGAGAAAGCAGTTACACTGTTTACATTAATCATTCGGTGCTTCGTCTTTCGGGACCCCCCAAAACACATGCAGATTCCCGCGCAGACCAGAGCATGATCTGAATCAACGAAGGTGGACCAAAGGACCTGCAGTTCTGTACGCTAACACGCCATCTAAAGCTGATTGTAATGTGAACAATTTGGGACCACGTTTGTGTTGGCGAAGTGTGATGCCAAGTTGCGGGACGCTTCTTCGAATGCCTGAAGTTTGTGTTCGAGAGAAACAGATGGTTATCTTCGCACAATGTGCGAAGCCTCTCTCCGTTATCAGAGCGGTCCTCATCGAGCGCTTGGTGACCACCAAGGTGGCGTTCGTGTGGTAACAGGCGGCCAACCCGTGCATTAAAATCCCCAGCAAGAGCAACCACATCAGACTTCTTAGCTTTAGTCAGGTGCTGAAGAAACTCCCGATGAATGTCGTGCTTGACCGAGCCACTACTGCAGTCGGTTGGGGCGTACACGGTGAGCACAAACAAGTTGCTTCTCTCCACGCGAGGCTTGTTGATTCTACGTGAACCCCGAAGCCGAGCTGCACACATTCGACTGTAAATCGGGAACCAGTCCAGTAGTGCCGCCTCGGCCTTGCAACTAGTGCTATACCTACACCAGCCAAACCCGCTGAGGCTACTTCTTGGTCTCTAGAAAGACGTAGTTGATATCTGGCTTCGCAGTTAGTTTTGGATGTCAGTGTAAGCACTGTGCTGGGGTCTTGCAATCGGGTTTCTGAAAGGCAGCAAACGTCAATATTGTGGGACCCTAGGGTGCGCGCTAGACCAGCATGTTGTCCACTCTGCATGAGTGTCCGTACGTTGAAGCATCCAGACGGAACGAGAATCAGGGTCGAAGAAGAACCAACCGGAATCATATGGGCGGATAGTAAGAAATGTTGGCAAACAAACAAGTGGGGTGTGATGAAATCGAGTAGCAGATGAGCACGTTGTAGAACAGTCCGTGGTTTTGTGAAAAGGCGTGATAATACCCGGTTGCCCAAGCCGTAGTAGCGAGTTAACTTAGACGACTCCACCCGAGATTTTGGCTAAATAGCCCACCAGCAAAGCAGTGAAGTGAATTCGGTAAATGCGCCCATTGGGGCTCGGTGACTGAATGTTCAATTTGTAAGCCTTTTGCTTGGTCGGTTACCAAACGGGGGCCCCATCCTCCCCACACTGTCAGCAATAGGGTACTGGAATGCAATGCTCCATCGGAATGAAGCAAGCGGCAGGGAATTTATTTAGTTTCAAGTTACATCCGCCACGTCACAGTGTTGTTAGACGGACATATGTGGCTTTTTATAGAGAGGACATTTGCCAGGCGAAAATTCACCACCTCCTGGAACACTGCCGCCAAACAATTGGCTGGAAGAGGATAATCCCGAACCACCTAGCTGACACAACGAGGAGGTTGTTCGGCAAGCCAGCCGAATGCTAACGAGCACCCACATGATTGCACTTTTGCATATCAGAACAGTGCTTTACAATCAGTGCCGACAGAGTGGTTGATATCTACTCTAACCTAATTACTGCACCTCAATTCGTAATTAATTGTAGCGCATGACGGTCAACGTTGACCTTATACTTTAAAATAATTTAATGGGCTACTAACAAGAAACACTGTACGCGCGTTTCATCCTTTCGGGAATCATCAGCAGTGCGCATTCCATCGGACCCTTGGTAGGGCTCGAAACCGCAACTCGACTGTTGCCAGTCCGTGGTTGAGACCACTGAGTTACGGGGGACGGCAACGACCATCGTGAATAAGTTACTAGATGTGATATAGCGCCGCTCACTATCCACTGACTTACACGTTACCGCCGTGCAGAGGACAGGGTAGCCCCCTCACCAAGCGACGAGCTTAACAAACTTAAGCCGCCAATTATCTTATGGCATTATAAGCAGTTTGTTCTGTGTACTGATTACAGAAGAGTAGTAGGGGGAGTTGAATGGTATAGGCTTGTGGCGGCTGTCTGAGTGAGCCTAGATGTGACGAAATTCTACCTATACCATTCAACTCCCCCTACTACTCTTCTGTAACAAGAAACAAGTAGCTAGTTAGTTAATAAAACAAGTATACTAGCGTTTTTGACGTAACCAAGCTTACACGAGTAAGCTTCTCGCGGTTGATTAATTATCACTGTGGACGCACAGAATACTGCGATAAGGTTTTACTATGTAGAGAAACCACTGGCTCTTCGCAGTGTAACTTCAAGGTTTTCAAAATTTGCATTCTGCCTGTTACATGTACTTCGGGTTACATTCGAAATGCCAGCAGTAACTGGAATGTAGCTGAGTAGCATACGCAGGGTTTTTGATTTCATCTTTTGGAGTGTGTTTTTAAAAGCTTCTAAATCAGCGTAATTTAGGTGAGACTATACGACGAAGAAGCATTTCGGAAGTGAAGCTCATGAAATCTTCTCAATCAGTAAGTAGTAGGACGGGTTTTGAAGACCCACTTATGTAGCGGGGTGTCAGACAGGTTGATGAAGATGCCAGTTAACCGTATATAAATGCAAATACTACGCTATATTGATTTCTCCTTCATATTTGGCTCCAATATTGCTGAAATAGAGTTGTTGTCCCTGTGTTACAGTACTTTTCCTAGCAAGCTGCATCTAATGACCTGAATATTTCATCTTTACTTGAAAGGTGGTTGTGAGTAGCGTCTTTCTGAGAGAACCCTTATGGGCAATTATCACAACCTGTTTGGAGTCAAGAATGAGTATCAGACAAATCGCTGAATCGGCTAGTTATAGTTAACTAACTGGGTGGTTAGGGAGGTTCGTGTTTATCAGCCCAAAAAGTAGTTTGCTTTCCAGACATCTCTTAGAGTGGCCAGGATGACGCCTGAAAGAATGTAGCAGTATGGTAAATCGCTCGTTATTCTTCAAGTGATGGCAAACGTCGAACTACATATTCGGAGATGAACTTGATGACCACCTATGTGGCGCCTGCTGGGATAAAGGGCAAAGGGTTCAAATCACATCGATTGCACAACAACTGAGCTTACATCCCAATCAGCCGAAACACGAGTATGAAAGAACAGAAGTGAAAGGTTACCAAGACCTCCTGAGCTGTACCACAAAGCGGATTTGTTAGGAAAGTCCAAGATAATGAAACCAAATCATTAAATGTCAAGACCACTTCTTACCAAGTCACTATGGGCATAATGTCTACTTCTGTTTGCAACCTTATGGGTTTGACTTATTGATTCGTTGGGTTAGCATCTCTCACCGTTGCCATCTACCCGGATCTCGTTTGCTCACAAGAAAGAAGCTGGTAGGTCATTTGTACCTGTTCCGAATTACCCCTAAAATATGCGAAACTTTGTGTGTTCTCTTGAATTGGTTCCAGGAGGGCGTACATTGGACCTACTTGACAACGTCGGTAGCAAATATAAATGTTTGTGTGTCAAACACAACTAGTATCCTAATTATCATTTGCAGTATCCGAGTCCACTCTAGGAGTAGCTGAAAGAGGTACTGATTATCGATGCTCGTTAGATAGGTGATGATTAAGGTGAAAGAGCTTCTGATAGTCTGAACAAAGTCTCTGAAAAACGTCTGAACAAAGATGGTGTGAAATACTGGCTAAGGAGCTGCTGCGCCCCATCCACAGTAGACTTATCGGTCAAGAAAGCGCTGTACGTCTTCACACAAACGGGAGCGAAATTAGGGGATATTTGCATTCCTTCCCCTTTGATACGATCTATGCTCACGCCTCATAATGTACGGATATTCTGAGGGAAACTCAAAACCGGATGAGTGTAATTTGGTTCTTTGGGAACCCTTCTTGAACATCAATAATCACTCCAACATGGCTATGATACTGGGAGATCCTGTGAGACTTTGGCTGCCAAGATCTCAAACATCGTTCATCTACTGCATGCACCAGCACACACTAATTTGATCGTTTTGTATTTTGGTCCGGAAGGTGTTTATATCTAATGTTGAAGTTAGAACCAAACGACGGCTTGGAAAAAAAAGCAACACGTTGTCTCACCGAATTCTAGGCAGGCAGGCAGACTCGTCATAACTGCAGGATAAATCCGTACTGACAGCTAACTCATATGGTTGACAAACACTCTCGATTTGGTCCGGAGCTAGTACTGGTTGCGAGCGATAAGATCATACAACCACCAGGCCATCCCATTCCGTTGTCTACTCTCAGAGGCTTACCACATAAATTAGTAGGGCACGTGCACAACATCGTGGGCTTTAATCATTATCCCTAAGTAACTCATACCCGTGGACTTTTCCATGAAGTCTTACGTTCCTACGTATCTTGCCTCGCAGTATATTTAGCTGCAAGTTCATGGAAAGCTGCAGGAATGCGTGGCTTGCTCCCAGTAGAAGCAAGAAGCACGGAAACTAATTTTTCTATAGGTGACCTTAAAAAGTCTATAAGTCATTTGCTTGTCAACAGTGAAACACAGCAGGGATTAGTTATTCTGAATTACTGCTAGCACAATTGAATTGTCACTAAAACATTTCGTTTAAGTACAGAAATGCGTCTAGATATACAGTGTAAATTTCGGTTGGTAGTTAAGCCAGTGGGCAGCGCCTCATATTCAGGCTGACAGTAGCATGCTTTACATGCTTACAACTGATGTGAGCTGAGCAGTATCTGTTATTCACTGATGAGAATCGTGCGCATCTGATCCACTTATCTTTTTTCATTTCCAGCCAGAGCAGTTGAAGCACCCTATCCACCAAGCGTCAGTTCCAGGTCCGATAACCAACCAAAATTCAACACACCCAGAAACAGACATGGGAGCAGTCTTTGTGCACCAGCTCTATCCCCTGCATTCCTCGATCATATAAAGGAAATATCTCATGTACGCAACTCACCTACTACGAAAGATTGTTCCACCCGAAACAGCCATTTGGGCTCAGCACTGTGTTCCTCAGTTACCGATAATGAAACCCCATATTTGCCTCAGCAACTCCGAAACTCGTCAGTTCCACTCACAAACATGTTATGCCCAGCGAAATTTGACAGATACCGTGACAGCGGAGGATGCATACCGGTGGCGTCTCCCTATCGATACAAATGTCCATTTTGTGTGAAAACCTTTCCCCGCTCTGCGAACCTTAACCGCCATTTGCGTACGCATACAGGTGAGCAACCATACCGCTGTGAGTTCTGCACCCGAGGGTTCAGTATTTCCTCCAACATGCAGAGGCATGTGAGGAATATTCACCAGCGTGAACGGCCTTTCGTTTGTGCTATGTGCGATCGGGCGTTCGCCCAGCGGACCAACCTGGACAGACACATGCGGCATCACTGGGCGAACAGTGGAAAACACTTCTGTGCTGTTAAGCGATCAGATGAAGCTGGCAATTCTGGTGTCCATCCAACTGAGGCAACGGATGTGGAAACTGGAGGAAATGTCTCAACCGAATCAGTGGGCGCAGTAACTGAACCTCCGGATGAAAGGATAACCAGTGAACCCTCCTACACTCAACCAACTAACGGCCAAACTTCGCCTATCAGCAGTACTTTTAGAGAGTTACAATATCAAGACAATTCAGACTTTACCTAGGCTGCATCGGATAATCGTGATTTTACTTAGGTAAAATTTCCTTCCTCCTCTGATAGAAGTGAACTCCAAATGGACCAACTCTCATGCCCCCTCCAACCCCCCCCTACATTGGTTTGTGATGTGGGAGGCATAAACGAGGTTACGGCGCCATAGATTTTTGATTAATGCTACATACATCCGCCGTTTTACTCTCAGATCATGATCCACAAGCATATCCTAACTTGAGTGCCCATTTGGAACAGAGCATGTTTTGTTGAACTTTTCACTACTACTATCGCGTTTTAGTAGTTAAATAACTGGCGGATACTGTTTTCGCCAACAACCGTGCCGTTGAGACAAATGTATAGCCACTAGGTATGGTGACAAGCGTGCGCAGCTAGTTCGTTTACATGTAGTTCGTAAGAGATGATTTTCAGTGAACATATGCATTTGTTTGTACTATCCTGTGAACGAAATGAATGTGAAGCAAGCAAATTCTCTGAAAACTTACGAAGTGACACGATTTTACCTGTTCTTTAAAATTAGTCGGTGAAAATATGTTAGGGAAACCGTCTTATTCCGGCGAAGAGCATGTTAACTAACACAACTTTTCAAAAGTGTTTCGTGTCAGCCTATTCAAAAATCTAGTTAGCATGTAGTGCAGCGATCTAAACAGGATAGGCAAATGACATTCACTTCGTTTAGACTCAGGTGGAGGTCCCCTAACATCTGAAATTCGTGAACGGGCCCTAGTGCTTAACAAGCCCTTTGCAATCCCTGTCTCCTGTGGCCCAGTGGTCATATTCCCTCACACCAAGGAGCAAGTTTGTCAGTTCGATTGCGTCACGGGTGAGACGACGTCTCGGTGTTGTTCCAGATGTAAACGGGTGCTTAGCTAAGAATATTCGTGGGATTTCCATTCTGGGATACTTCGAATATTCTAATTGTAGTTCCCAGGCCAATGAATGCGCAATGTCAGTTAGCATCAAAAGTAGTTTGGATGTTTTTCAATACAGTAAAAAAATGATAAGCACATTCAAAGGACACGCAAACTAACGAAGCAGGAAGTCTATTTAAACTGGGTGACTGTACTAATCCGCTTTTTTACCGTGCAACTTTTGTTCACATCGACTCCAGACTCTAGTGTGTGAATTTTAGCGCTCGTGAGATACACTGGTATTTGTGGTGACCAAACGGGTCAATAATATTCCCCAACTGACGTTTTAGGGAGATTAAAAGCTTGCAAACGCACATATTTGGTATTATCATTTTCGACAGCATGCCTCAACGTAAAACAATCCGCGGTGCACTGGAATTACGTTCCACGGACACCACTGGATGTAGCAATTTCAATGGTGTACTTTGTGGCCAAGGTACGTTCGGTGGTACGTATCACATGGTGCCGGTAGCGTGCCACTGCGTGGGGCGGCAAATGCATCACTCCAGTTGCCAATGCTAGACCATAGTGACTTGCGCAAGTCGAACGTGTCAATCAGTGCGATATGAAACGTGTTCACAACTACAAGTTGAGGCCTTAACATGGAGTGGCTTGGGGAAAATTTTGCGCCGGCCGCAACACACTTCGAATGTCGATCACGCGCACGAACCCACACAGAGTTTCTGTTCAGTCTGTGCCCATGTTGATGTCCCGTTACAGAGCACTATACCAGGTTCCATTTGTAATTGGACAGCTGCCTCGGTAGCCGACATATATCCACTTGGCGAGTGCACTAGGCTGACCAGTGCGCATAGCAACGAAAATGGTCCGCTCGCTTTCACGTTATCGAGACGAGTGTGTAAAGTGTGCAGAAGCGAGTTAGTCAGAAAGGTTGCAGTGTGAGGGGAGGTGAATATAGTTTGAAGAATCTTTAAAAACCGGGACGTGATCCTTAACTTCGCAGTACTTGGGCTCTCGGGTATAGTACTGTCGTTAGGTCCGATTCTGTTATGGGGTTATGGATGCCTCGATGAAAACGCTGTATAAATAACGCTGTATAAATAATTATTTCTGAAACAGTGATCATCCCAACTGTGTTTTCCATCGTATTTCCAAACGAATGAGTGAATATTGTGAAGAAGTTCCTCCACTCATTGCACTCATTGTTCTGAGCATTCACTATAACTGGGGAAAGAGTAGTCAAATTTAGTAGAATGGAGATAAATTTTAAAAGTTTAACCAAAGGACTAGGCCTCAGAACCTACCTTTGTGTGGGATGGAATTACTATCTACCGAACCCACTGGGACGAATTCACATTCAGGTTGCATCAGATATGCTGCCGTGCACGTCCACAGTGCACTGGTTCGCTTACCCGGAATAGATACAGTAAAAGATATGATTTTGCGGTTTTTTAAGTTTCTGTCAGTAAGTGGACTTCAAGATGACAAGGGAATACGTCTTCATCGACTGGAACATAGCAGGTGTACAGATGTTCTCTTTTCCATTTGTGTATCTACAACTTTGGCAACATGGAGAAAGACTTTACTGCTGGCGGTTAGACATACACCGAGGTGCCTGTTTGGACTGTGGAGATGAAGGTGGGACGAAGGATTTCAAGATTTGTGAGTTTTTAAGGCAAAAGTCCTCTCTCCAATGGATTTCCGGAAATGGCATATTTGGGCCGCATTCTCACACCAAATGGTGGGCTTGTGCTCACACTATTGACAAACCCTTTTTTAAGAACTTGTCAAGTGATGACAGTCTATTAAAACAGCAATTTTCAACCTCTGTCTTAAATGTTAATGTGTGTGTGATATCTATTTTAGCTCTTGATCTTTGCATTATGGTATGACATTCGTCAGCGAGCAGCAAAACGGCTGACAAGTAGTAAATAAAGATTAACTCCACAGCAGAGGGGTAGCAACAGGGGTGGGGGCAGTCCGACCCGGGCGGCATGTAACAGGAGGCGACATTCTTACTACAGATAAGTGTTCGATACCATGCGTTAACCTAAAATATTTCAAGATAAGCCGATAATGAAATATTGCGAGGAGGCCAAAGGAAATGACAAAAATAGGTTGCATGCGGGCTATTGAAATTCCTCAAAAGTACGTTAATGACCGAAGTAGTAAAAAAGAAGGGCAATAACCAAAGAGACATTAAAGAAGGAAATTTGTACTGCAGACGTTGGTACAAGGGCAACGGAAGGCGGCAGTGACAGCATCGAAGCAGGGGGAGATGTATGTAACGCTGATGCACGCCATGTGCGCTAATTTGAAGTATTGGAAATCCAAACACTACCTGACGCGGTAACACGCACATCAACCGATCCTACAGATGTCGGTCTGTGGCCCGGTAAGACTGACCATCAAAACTGCACTCTGCTCGTCCGGCTGGGATCTACAGTTTGCAACAACTCGATAATGAATTCCAAGAAATAGTGTGACCTGGAACGAGTACAAAAGGTGAAGCTAGAAAGCTATCAGCGAACTGTTTTGTAAAATGGAGAACATGGATTGCGAACATGCATAGTGTACTCTATTTCTAGAGACCCAGTTTTGCCTCTGTTACAGAAAATTATTAACGGGATAGTTTAATTGTTCTACTGACGACGGGTTCCTCTAACTGGTGGCAATTAAATCCAAAAGTACATGAACTTGAATATAGTAAATCGCATGGTCAGCGGCTGTCCATCTGTGCCCTCTAACACAGCTACGTCACTTGCGGGCCTCAGGCGCTTCTTCCCGTAAGCAACAGTCTTCTTGGGAGCCGCCTAGGCTAAGCTTGCAAGCTCCTCTTCGAACTGCCGACGTGTTCAGGCTTTTGCGCTGTTTTATTGATTCCGCTGCTTTTTGTACCCCTCATAATCATCTGTCGAGTCAGATACGAGGAATTTATCCCAAAATTGACGTCGCCTTCGAGCCTATTGACTATATTCTCTGTCGAATCAATGTGGCTTCCCTGGTTCAGCTTTTAGATAATTGAAGAGTACGAAACGAGTACACAACCATTGCACAGCCTCTTTTATAACAGAAGAACTGGCTTCAGCAGATGAATCCTACGGCAGTAACCAGTCAATTTCACTGGCGACTCCATTTAGACCATCGAACTCGGTCTTTCAATAACTGTAGGATGGCTTCAACAGATGCGGGTACGGCAGCGGCAGCTCTAGGTCGGCTAACACCATCGAGTAGTCAGTAGCTGCCAGAGGCGCCAGGACCTGAATTTCATGTAGACGTTGCTCGCTACTCGTTAGTAGTAAGTCCAGGCAGGATGAAGCGGAATGCGGTGTAACGCGTGTTGGTTCGTAGACATGTTGTGCTGCCCCATTTTCAAATGCCATCTCCGCAAATTGCCTCTCGACTTCACGGTGCCTGAGGAGAACTTGAACTTCAGGCCACCGTATACAAGGGAAGTTAAAATCTCCCATAAGAAGGAAACGGGGCCAAATCATGCAGTTTCTGACATGCGGCAACCAATCCAGGCATCGACTTCGCTGGCTGCTGTAAGAAGCACCCACAAATAGTTCACTCTGTTTCAGGCGGATCGAGTAACAAAACTGTTCGCACAAGCCATCTTGGCACAGCGAGGACCGAATATATAACAGCGCGCCGCCTAGATAGTTTGATAATCTGTCGCATCGGAAACACGAGTAGCCAGTGATCTGGATTTTTGGGTAGTGACCTCAGGATGTAACCAGGTTTTGACTAGTTCTAGTAAGTCCGGACGACGTGAGGCAACGAAGTGAAATACATCGTCAAGCTTGTTCATTAAACTACAAACCTTTGTGGAGGCTATGCGCAGGACGCGGTAGGAACCGACGGACGCACATAAAGCGTTATCGATCTGCTGAGCTGGGTTCGGTGGATTCGGGGAACTGCCCGAAAATTTACAATGTGGAGATTGGTTTCTTCACTATAAGTCCGCCGCTTCAACGCTATGATAGCGGACTTCAGTTTCTCTCTGTCCGATGGATCCAACTCAGGTTGAATATGGATCTTTAGACCTGTTATCCTACGGAGGCGGGATAGTATCAGCCTCGGACTCGTTACATCAACAAAGCTGACTCGCGGAGACCGGGATTTCCCCACTTTCTTTTTCCAGGACGTGTGATTTGCTTCACCCGCAACCCCTGTTCATTCAGATCGAAAAGCCTATCAATCAGTCTCTGCAGAAAATCCACATCGTGGTCATAACGAACCTCAGGTGCGTGAAATTTCATAAGGCTACAAAACCGCTGCTTGTTGACAGTTGTCTTCTGCCTTTTGCTTCGCTGCATTCTCCATTGGCCTACAATGCCTGCGCTATCGCACACCGGTAGGTTAGT